CCACCCCTGCTCTGGAGGAACTACAGGTCCTCAGAGGTCTGAGCAGACCCCGGATCTCCCAGCAGAAACCCAGAGAGGGTTTACCTCCAGAACCAGCCACAGAGACGTGGAGCAAGATGAAGTCTGGTCAAACTGAAGAAACCTGAGAGACATTCAAACGGATTAAAACTTTAGCASAAAGACAGAAGAAAGGTGCTTTTATTTCACAGGCAGAGACACTGCAGAGGACAGATCTGGACTCAAAGTGGGTCAAATGACTCATTCAGGACTAGAGTCCAGCTGGAGACAGTCTTTATTCACCAACTCTAAATATTTCATTCAAACGGAGTCAGAACCGGTCCATCTAGAACTCAACACAGATCATGTGTATGTTGACCTGTGTGCACATAGATATATAATGATAGATACATGATGCTGTTTGTTCTCATTGACAAAGAAAACAGCTATAAAAAGAAGCAGAGATGGTGAACCAGCAGAGCTCAGAGCTTCAGGACAACATGTGGGAGGAAATAAAAAACTAAATATGACAGAGGAGCTAACTACAACACATTTTAATGGTTTCAGTTCAAAGATTGCACAAAGGTTCTAAAGTCCAGAACAGAGGTTTTGGTTCTGTTCCGGGCTCAGAGTGAATCTCACTGTCYGATCAGCTGAAGAAAGAAAGTGAAGCTGAACCCTCAGCAGGAGGCTCTCCTGCACTAAACAGATGTTCATTCTTCACATCTGTCCTCCAYAACCTCTAGCTGACCACAGACTCCATGGACCCAGAGTGGAACTGGGTCTGGTCCACTTCAGTTCATGTGTGTCAGCTCAGGGTGYAGCTATGAGGAGCAGGTTGAAGGAGGCTCCTCTGGACTGGTCTCTGTGGAGACCCCGGGGTTTCCGTTCTCCGCTCCGTTCCTCAGGGTCATCTTCTCCAGAGCTGAGGAGAGAGAGGTTGGATTGTAACCATCTGTCCACTCCTGCTTCACCCTCACCTGCAGGTGTGACAGGTGAACTCACCCTGCAGGGCGGGGGGCGGGGCTCCACTGCTGTCCTCCAGCTCATCCAGGTAGAGTCGGTACCGATGACCGTTATCGTCCTCGTACTCCACGTTCTCATCATCACTGTCCACCTCTGGAGCCACGTACACCACCTCAAACTCGATCTGTCCTCGCTGACACACACACACAGTGAGCAGGTAGCAGTGTGTGTGTGTAACTGTGTGTGTAACTGTGTGTGTGTGTGTGTGTGTGTGTGAGTGTTACCTGCTGGGACAGAATGGTCACAGCCTCTTTGTGTTTAGCGTCTCTCAGGTTGATGCTGTTGACGGCCAGAATAGCATCTCCCACATGGAGACCTCCACACCGGTCTGCAGGCTGACCAGGATGGATCTCTGAGATCAGGATGGGGACACCGTGCTCCTTCCCCCCCTGACACACACAGACACACAACCACCTCATCAAATACCACAAAATGACTTCACTGAACTGTTACTTCCATTTATGGATAAAATCTATCACTATATTCAATAAATATATCACTTTAGACCTGGCCTCAAATATGTAATGTTTTAAACCAGTGGTTCTTAAACTTTCTGACCTCAGGGCCCAATTTATTGAACATAAAGTGACATGAAGCCCAGTCAGACATTACCAATGTATGGATCAAAATGATAATTATTATAAACCTTGGTTTAATTTTTATTGTATTTACATCATAACTGAACTATCATAACTAACATAACTAAATTAAA